GAGAGTTAAACATCCAGGAGGTTACTGCAGGACGAAGTCGAACTGATGAAGGTCATTATATAGATACTGTGTTTGTTCATTCCCACACACACACACACACACACACACACACACACACACTTCGGTCACCAAACATACACTCTGTGTGTGTGTGTGTGTGTGTGTGTGTGTGTGTGTGTGTGTGTGTGTGTATTGTCTCCCAGCTGTATGTCTCTCGGGGGGAGGTCAGGGTCTTTGTGTCTCACATGTCCTTTGACTCCGACAGCAGGTCCACATAAAGAGAAAGTGTGTGCGTGTGTGTGTGTGTGTGTGTTTAGAGGCAGCTGGTCTCCAGCTGAATGATTCCCCAGGGAGATGATGGAGGCAGATGGAGACTGAACACAGCAGACTGATTCCCACAGGTTGATCTGAGTGTGTGTGTGTGTGTGTGTGTGTGTGTGTGTACATGCTACATAGTGAGGACCAAATAAACGTGTTTTTAGCAACAGAGTGAGGACATCTTTGGAAACATTTTCCTCCCTTCTTTAGAGGCCTGTTTGAGGGTTCAGGTAACTCTGAGGTTAGGGTTAAAACACAGCACTCAGAGACTGGCAGAATAATAAGACTTAAACATCTCGTTGTAGAGGCCCCGACAGGAGCTCAAGGAGCCCCATAAAATTGACAATAATTTATAATGTTGGATCAAATGTAGAGTTTACTGGGCCAATGAACATGTGGGGCAACGCTCCAGACACATCAGGTCACTTGGGAAATAACCTGAGGACTGACCATGAGATCTATAAAATAAATGAATAAATAATAGTATATCTGATGATAAATTATCTGCACTGTGGTCAAAGATCGTTTAATAAATGCTGAATTTAATTAAATAAACTGATATAATGATGCATATGTCACATTATAATAGGTGAAGGAACAGAAGATACCTGCTTAAAATTACATACACTATTTAAGGTTTGGAGTTGGGATTGTCCAGATTAGGGTTAGAGGCCTGGGAATGTATGAGTCAGTGAGGGTCCTCACAAAGATAGAAGTACAAGAATGTGTGTGTGTGTTCGGGTTTTTTTCATATTCTAGAAAAATAAACAAATGATGGAAACTTTCCTCCTAATGAATCTTTCAGACGAGTCGATCAGTTTGTATCAATCACTGCAGCTCAGAGCAATAATTCAGCTGATCAATAATCAAACTGTGACGACTCGTTCAGTTCACTCTGATACAAACACAAAAAATCTTCACATTAAACTTCAACTATTGATCAATTATCTGAACAGTTTCAGATCAGTTTGCTGTTGAACTGATTCATCGATTGATCACAGCAGATTTAATCAGTGTCTGTTATTATTGATCCTAAAATCTTCTTTAACTAAAATAAGAGCACCAGAAAATTAAACAGCACATTAATAACTAATATTTCTGACTTTAATAAGTTTCTGTTATTGATCAGTTGATCTCACCTGATGGACATGTTCACAGTTTAATCATATTTACAGGATCAAATCATCAATGACAATAATAACAATAACAATAATCATCAGTTTTATTAATTAAAGTATTTCTACATGTTGGTTTTGTTCCTGACAATATTATTGATTATTATATTTTAGGTGTGGGAGAAAAATCCATCCAGCAGAGTATTATGATATCTTTGTGTGGCAGTATGTGTCATCACACTTTTACTGTATTAGTTACCAATATTACAAATACAAATGAAACTTTAGGGAGCCGACTGGAATAATATGATCATCTGATTTTTCAGTCCAACAGAAACATTTTGCTGCAAAACAAATATCTGAAGTGATGAACAGACAGAAAACTTTATCTTATTAGATAAAACACATGTTGACAAAGTTTTAATCTGCAGTTGAAAAGAGGAAATAAACCACAATATATTTAATGCAACACTCAGCATATTGTAACCTTTAATATAAGGATAATATCATATCATGGAGCCTCTGGTGATTCCCCCTCTGTTATAAATGAAGATCAAACATGAGTCTGTTTGACTTTTTGTTCAAAGTGAATGAATTTCTCTTTCAATATTTACATTTCAGCTGCTTCTAGTGTTGACACAAAACTGACTCCAGGCAGGAGAAATAAAAATGTCAAATATGTTTAAATCAACCGACGTGTCAGCTGCTGAAGGAGCTGTGTCTCTGAACGTGTTCGATATCAGTAAACACTTCACAGACTGAACCGGACAATAAATTGATTTTTATTAAAAGTCTTCAGAGGTCTGACTGTGTTAGCTCACTAAGCTAACTGAGCTAACTGAGCTAACAGCTCTTTATAAACCTGATTTTATTTTTACAGTCAAACTGTTTCCGTCTGTGGTGCTTCAGGTTTGAACAGCTCAGTGTTGCTGGGATACCTGAAGTGTCACCTGTCTGTTGCCTGGAAACATGATCTCATTTCCTCTGTGAGCACAACCACCTGTTAGCTTCATCAGGCTAACTGAAGCTAACAGCAGCTGCTGACGCTGTTCCAGAGTCAGTGACGTCACATTAATGAGTCTATAATGACCTGTTTATTACAGACTCAGTGACAGACACACAGATAAACATCATGAGCACTGTTATTTAACATAATATGTCTTGGTACTGTTAGCGGATGTAAAGCTCTGTCAACAATCACTCCATCATTCAGAACTTCATCCAGAAATCTGCTCATTTCCAGTCGCTTCATTCAACATTAAACATTTCAGGAAGTGTCGGTCCGTCGACGGGAGTTGAGATTTATCTGTAATAAAGAGCTCGTTTTCTGGATTATTTAAAGCCGAACTAAAGAGGGGCTGGTGCAGAATCAGAAACACACCGAGTGAAACTTTAACATTTATCATCGTTGGGTCGGTTAGTAATAATGATAACAACAACAATAATAATAATAATAATAATAATAATAATAACATAACGTTAGAAGTCAGTGACAAACCCACAGCTGCTACATTATGAACACTGTAATAACGAGTGTTTATTCAGATTAACACTGGCTGAGTCTCTTCTTGGTACCGTTAGCTAATTTAAACCACTGTAAACAATCACGTCACCATTCAGAACTTGATTCAGAAATCTGCTACGTTTCAGTCGCTTCTCGCATCTTTAAACGCGTCAGTGAGTTTGAGTCACGCGACAAAGAGTTGAGATTTTTCTGTATAACGGAGTCATTGTTTTTGGATTATTTCAATGCCGAACTGAAGAGGGGTAATGATTACATCATAAAACACCCAAAGTGGTACGTTAACACGTTACGTTTTTTAAGCGTTAAGCATTAGTAGAGTAAATAGTCGTAATTTGAACGTAGTCTGGTGTTGCTGTTCATAAAGGAGAAAGGCACAGCCCGGGGCGGCTGCCGAGACCCGGTGTGAGTCCTGCGGTACCTTTGACGTCCTGAGCCAGAGCCTTCCACGTGCTGGAGTACTGGATGCAGTGTCCACACCAGGAGGAGAAGAACTGGACCAGCCAGGCCGAGGACGAGTTGAAGACGGTGGGCTTCAGGCTGCTGCTGCTCAGGATCACCAGCGGGTCCTCCTCCGTGTACAGCCGGGCTGCGGCTCCCACGCAGCCGGGGACGAGCCAGAGGACGACCGCCGCTTTGAACCAGGACCGGAGCATCCCTGCCGACCCGCGGACACACACACACCGAGAGCAGGCTGTCAGAGAGCCGCAGAGTTTGAGCCGAGAAGAGGCAGAGAGAGCCGGGGACACATGAGAGCAGCTGCCCGCTGACTGCTACGTGTGTTTACAGCCGCCGGAAGCACAGACGTCTCACTCTGACGGGTTTCCGAGAAACTGAGGCTTCAACACAACGCCGCAAAATATGAACTCTTTATCGATCACAGTTATTAAGACACAAACAGAGAAACAGGACAATCGAACAAGATGATCAGTTTACCTGATCGGGTTGGGTTACCATGGCAACAACTGGACTCGTGTCTCTGCTGCAGGAGGAGGTCTGTGTTTTCACTGAGGAGTGAATCATGTCCACTATAGACGATCTTTTCTCAAGTTCAGACTGACGCGTGACTGACGTGACAAACGTGCTGCGTTTGAGTTTCCTCGAAGATCTCAGAGTCACGGGGGAGGGACTTATAGTTTTTATTTAGGTTCAGAGGAGCGGCATAAAGACTTTAATTTCTTTCTGGGGTGTGACTTTTCCTGACCCTCCCTGAAGCTCTAAATATTTTCCCTTTACTCAGTGACTGGAGGAATATCTTTGACCCTCCCTCCTCCATAAATGACTTATTAGATTTTTGATGTTTGAAAGTTAAAAGTTGAAGATGAAATCCTGGAGTTGAATAAAGCCTCAGTTTTACAGATGCTTTACTTTTGGACAAATTTTAAATGAGATTAACGAAATATCACTATTTTAAGGACAGATTTGGTGATAGGTTTTATTCTATGTATTTATTTTACAGAGGCAGTTGTTGCACAGAGTGTCAGATATTTGAAAGTCAGAACTTTTTGCCAGAAATGAGAAAATTGCCGCAATTTCAAAGTCATGTTTTCTATAGAAATCTGCGGTAAAATAAAAACAAAAAATAAACCTATATAAATCTGCATGCTCCTCCTCTTATATAAATAACAACAGTCCAAAATCATAATATTTTCTCTAAAATTAGAACAATGTCTCTTTTTTTCAGGAAACATTAAAGAAAATAATTTAATACCTGCAAAATTAAGCGTCAGCAAAAACATGAAAATCTTGTCCAAATAATATTAATTTCTGTATTTTTTTATTATATTTATTTGCCTACAAATGATCTATTTCTAAATTTCGTTATTTTATTTGTTTATATTTTGCTGTATAATTAGATAATGTTTTGTGTTGAGTCCCTGAATAATTGTATTTTCCCCCACGGTCCTTGAATGCATCAGCGCTCTCTGTTGCCCTCCACTGGTCACTTCCGGTGCTGATCAATCTGTTATTTATTTATTTCTGAAAAAATAACTTCATGTTTATAAGAAGAAGCCGGAAGTACAGAGAGCTCTCACTCTGTTTGTTTTTAATGTCAAACTTTTTCTTCAACTATTTTTTTTTTCATGCCGCAGTTTTACGTCAAAGTTTAGCGTTCTGTTTCCATAGCAACGGAGCAGCGAGACACCGGAGGACACGGAGAAGAGGTGATTATGTGTAAATGTCGATTTTATTTGTAGATTATCGGCATTATCTGTAAATAATGGATCATATCTTTGGTTTAAAGACTGTCTCAGGTGTGTGTGTGAGCGGGACTGAAATATTTCCTGAACTCAGATCAGAAACACGTCGGAAACATTTCGGGTGAACTCTTTACATATTTTCACATTAACGGTTTGAATGATTCAAAATGAGCCTGGTTTCATTTTTATAGTCTTTTGTGTTTAATGTTTATTTTATATTCACGAGTCACAACTTTCTGATGTTTGACTGAATTTTCAGTTTAAATGTTAAAGTGTTTATTGAGCCTCAGCTGCTTCAGATCTGACGGCAGGAAATGACGTGTATAAACATGACGAGGTGTTTCCTGTTTGTCTCTAAAACTATCGACAGATTTTCATCCATCATTTATTTATTGACATGTTTCTGTTTGTAGCGTCATTTAAAACAACTCTTCTGATTGGCTGAAATTTACATCAACAGATTCCGTTCAAATAAAATAAAATAAAATAAAACGTAGACTCAGAGCCTCAGCGACATCTTTACATGAAACAGAAACAGTTCATTATGAGTTCATGTTGATTAAAGGGTCAGTTCACTCAAATCAAACACAACTCGTCTCTGTCACAAACTGTCCACTAAAGGGACACTTACCAGTTTTCTGAGTTTTCATTCATGGTGTTTTAAATCTCCATGACAACTGATCAAATAAAGACCATGTGACCCGACTGAAAGCTCCAGAAAAAAGACAGGAAGTGACATCAGGTTGTTTCAGTAAAGTGTTTTTTCAGAGTTCATGACGAAGCGTTCAGTTTATCCAACACGTCCCCGACTGATACTGTCTCTGTCTCTGATACTGTCTCTGTCTCTGTAACTGTCTCTGATACTGTCTCTGTCTCTGATACTGTCTCTGATACTGTCTCTGATACTGTCTCTGTGACTGTCTCTGTAACTGTCTCTGATACTGTCTCTGTCTCTGATACTGTCTCTGTAACTGTCTCTGTGACTGTCTCTGTCTCTGTAACTGTCTCTGTGACTGTCTCTGTAACTGTCTCTGATACTGTCTCTGTCTCTGTAACTGTCTCTGTGACTGTCTCTGTAACTGTCTCTGTAACTGTCTCTGTGACTGTCTCTGTAACGGTCTCTGTAACTGTCTCTGTGACTGTCTCTGATACTGTCTCTGTAACTGTCTTTGATACTGTCTCTGTAACTGTCTCTGTGACTGTCTCTGATACTGTCTCTGTAACTGTCTTTGATACTGTCTCTGTCCACGACAGGAAGCTTTCAGCCTGCTCTTCATCATCAGTCACAGACGAAACATGTCTTCACCCAGAGTGGGCGTGGTCAGAGACTCCATGTTGACCAATCCGCTGCTCATCAAGGTAAACGAGACAATGCTCATAAACACGTCATAGGAAACAGTCAGACTTTCAAAATAAATCCTCACAAATATCCTCAAGGTGTCGAGCTGTGGCAGGCTTTTATTGTGAAGGAGCCAGAGGCCTTTATTATGAAGGAGCTGGGAGGTTTTTACTGTGAAGGAGCCAGAGGGCTTTTATTGTGAAGGAGTCAGAAGGCCTTTATTGTGAAGGAGCCAGAGAGCTTTTACTGTGAAGGAGTTTTGTGTCAGTGGATCAGACTGAATTTAATTAATGGGGGATTATGATGATGAAAAAAGTTAAAACCACTTCCTGTAACCAGCTGTGGATGATGACATCATACAGCTGTGGTGACATCATAATGACCTGGACTGTCAGCAGAGCGTAGTTCCTCCTATTAAACACCAGATGGCGGCACAGACACACACGACACGTTCAGGGTTTAGAGGATTAAAAGGTTCAGAGCAGGATTCACCTGCTGGAGGCCCCGGGGCCCCTCATGAGCTGCTCAGGGAGATGACGGTCCTCTGGACAGACAGACGTCAAGCCTGTTGTTTTTCATCACGCCAGTCTGGCTCTTCACCTACAACCATGACATCACAGACGAGGTGGCCGAGTGGTTAAGGCGATGGACTGCTAATCCATTGTGCTCTGCACGCGTGGGTTCGAATCCCATCCTCGTCGCAGGTTCTTTAGTCTGTCCTGAATGTGACATGTCAACAAGATAACATGCTCCATTATCAGTGAAACAATCAGCTCAGATCCTCCAGACCTCTTCCAAAGCAGCCATCTGATATCTAACATACAGTTTCCATGTGAAAACAACATGTGTCTACACCAAAGTTTACTGATGGCTGCATTAAAGAGCTCTGAACTACAGGAACACTGCTACATCTCAACTTCATCCTCTGTTAACATGCTACAAAACTAAACTGGGATCAGAAACCAACCAATCAGCTCCAGGCAGGTGTTGAGATATGGAGCCTTACTGGCAGATCCAGAGAGCGCATCTTCAGAGAGCCACAGTACAGCTTTGAAGAGAACCATGAACAGCTGATCAGCCGTCTGACTGACAAGACAGCTTTTACTGCAGCTGTGACATTCACTGGAACCACATCTGAGTCACTGAACGCACCACACACACACACACACACACACACACACACACACAGGAGGTGGGCGGAGCTACATGAGACATTCATATACTGACCCACTGTGTTCTTTAGTTCAGTCACTTTAATCAGACTCTTGTATCCTCCCTCCCCTCTGAGGGCCTCCTCTACTCCTCTGAGTGCATTTAAGAAATTGAAACGTTTGTCAAGATGGTGGATGTCAACTGATTTCCAGGTCAGGTGATGGAGGATGGAGGGGTCTAAGGATGAACCCACTGTGTTCTTTAGTTCAGTCACTTTAATCACAAACTCAGGAGAAAGTAAAGTCTTGTGGAGAATGCGGGCATCGATCCCGCTACCTCTCACATGCTAAGCGAGCGCTCTACCATTTGAGCTAATTCCCTTGTGAATGAATGTCTCATGTAGCTCCGCCCACCTCGTCTGCTCCTCCCCTCTGTGCCACACATTAACCAGGGAAGGTCATGAAGGATAAACAGCTGTTCTCACAACACACTCCCTGATCAATGAGAAGCTGAGATTTGGTCCTGACATGATGATGATGATGATGATGATGATGATTGCAGGCGTCTCTGGGTCAGAGCCAGACCAGAGGGATGTCACTTCCTGGTCCAGACTTCACCTTTGGAACCAGAAGCTCACACAGAGACGGAGGCGTGCCCGAGGGTAAGCCCCGCCCACTGTAAACAACAACAACAACAACAAAGACGGTCACATTAGCATGTAGCATTAGCATGGTGATGTTTGAACACTCAGACTGGACCTCACTGTGCTAACGTCTGTAAGCATGTTTGTTACCTTTAAATAGGTGCTGATAAACATCATTAGCATTGTGTGTGTGTGTGTGTGAGTGTGTGTGTGTGTGTGTATGTGTGTGTGTGTGTGTGTGAGGTGTAGCAGCGTTTGGTCAGCTGTCACTGTGTGTTTCCATGAAGGAAACATGCCTTCAGGCAACAATCACTGCTGTCAGTCACACACACACACACACACACACGCACGCACGCGCACGCGCGCACACACACACACACACACACACACACACACGGTTCCATATTAACTCTCCTCGGTCTGTTTATGAAACACAGACTGGTTTGTTCAGAGTCAGAGCTAAACCTGAAACAACATCAGTCCGTCTTCATCCTCTGATCTGGGTCTCTGAGGAAGGAGCTGAGCAGACGTCCCTCTCCAGCTCCTCCTGGAGGATCCTGAAGTGTTCCCAGACCAGATGAGATCTATAATCCCTCCAGTGTGTTCTGGGTCTGCCCCGGGGCCTCCTACCAGCTGGACCAGGAGGATCCTGATCAGATGCTGAACCACCTCAACATGAAGGAGCAGCGGCTCTACTCCGAGCTCCCTCCAGATGGAGACACAGCTCACTGTTCCTGAGTCAAACACCACCTTTGTGTTTAAGAAGAATTTTCTTTTTCTGAATGGGCCGTCCCAAATACTGAACTGAGGTTGGGTAGAAGACAGGTGATCAGTGTGGAGCCAAAACACTGCCACTAACAGGAGCCCTCATTGGCCAACGCAGTCGCTACGTCAAAAAGGGGGCTGAGCTGTGACTCAGACATGATGAATCAATCAATCAAGTTGTGTTGAATTGAATTTTAGGTCAGGTATAAACGTGTGTGTGTGTGTGTGTGTGTCGATGATCATAACAATATTTATTGATTTATCAGTTTAAACATATTGAACCTTCTTTAGTAAATATTACTGACATTTTAACAAAGTTTTCATCACCTACAGTGAGGTGTGCAGTGAGGCCTGCTGGGAGTTGTAGTTTCTGTCTCTGTGTTGTTGTAGTTCTGTCCAGCTGGAGCGTTCAGTCCAGACGAGGAGACTCCGCCCCTCATCGACCTCTCCCTCCAGACTTCGTGTCTCTGAACCGGGACGCTGTGAAGTCCGGTCTGGTGACAGCCAAAGAGCAGAGTCAGTACAGAGCTCAGAGAGGCGGAGTCAGGACCAAGAACCCCGCCCCTAAGCATCAGGAGGGTGGGGCCTCACAGCGCCAGGCGGTCCCTGACATCGTGTTTGGAGTCAAAACCAGGTCAGACAAACATCCACAGAGTGATGATTGATTACTGATTGACGGTTATTGACGTGCTGCTGATCGATCTGTCCGTCAGGGCGTCGTCTCCTCTGTCCGACCTCCTCTCTCATCAGTACGGGCGCCACTGGATCGACGAACAGCTGAGCAGGAACCAAACCAGCGACCACAAACAGCTGCAGAGGGTGAGAGCTGTCGGTCGCAGTCATAGTCATCATCAGTGTGATGACATCACGCTGTGGAAAACAGCATGATGTCATCGTCACGTGTGTCTGTGTGCAGATAAGACCAGGAAATATTCCCGACACCAGGACGAGTCTCCTGAGGAGGAGCAGAGCACTTCCTGTCACACAGACGCCGTTCACACTGCCGCGCTTCAAACAGGTAACGACTTCCTGTTTCTGTCCAGCTGCATTGATCAATATTTTTATAGACACACTGATCAGCTGACTGAGTGATGTCACAGTGTCCCAGGGCTCACACAGTTTCATCAACGAATCTTCAAAACTTTTCCAGGACTTTTCAAGGACCCAGAATAACATGTTTATTTCAGAAAAGCTTCACTTCACTGTGTCTGTGGCACACACACACACACACACACCCAGGACAGCCTCGCTTCCTGTGACAAACATCGTCACACTACGTCACGTGTACACACAACGTCTAAAATCTGAAGGCTCGGCCAGTTTGAATCCTGGAAAATAAAAACCGTGTACGTTTTCCTTTTGTATCAAACATCAAATAAGTCGTTGTGTTGTGTTTGTGCTGACTCACGTCATACGTGTGTGAAATCACTGAATCAATGAATGAACTTCGCTGGTTTGTCCTCGGCCAATGCTGATTGGCTGTTACGGTTGCTGAAGTTTAGATTTTTCAACTGTTGTTAAAAAGCGTATGACGTGAAAACGTGCTATTCGCTTGATTCATGCCGCTTAATTCGTGTCCATTGAACCACCTGGTGGGAATTTGTGTCTGATTACGTTTTTACGTTACGACTTTACACGCGTGAATTGTGTCATTCACGCGGGTGGGAACACAACATCAGAGTTAATTTGCCGCACACGTCCTGTGATGCGAGTCTTCATCATGGTGTCGATGCTGAAATGATTTATCCTGCAGCACTGAGCAAAGTTACGGCTAACAGAGAAATAAACTCACCGTTATGTTAGGTTGAAGATCACGGTAACAATTCAGTTCATTACAAAATTCCCCAACTTTCAATGGCTTTTTCAGGCCTGGAAAATAAGACTCTTCCAGGTTTTCCAGGACCATGTGAACCCTGCTGATGTAATGACCTGTCTGCATCTCTGCTGCTGTTGAGACTCTTTTAGCTCCAATGAAAAAAATATATATACATAACCTTGTCTGAAAATTACCATATGAGAAGTTAATTCATAATTTATTATGGTTTACACGACATGACGGCACAAATTCAGAGGAAAAAGTGGCTCTTTTTAGCTCCTCTTCTAAAAACGCTTTTTTTCCTCAACATCACCTGATACTACGTCACGAGAGGGACTCTGCGTCCTTGACCCTGCCTCTGTCCAATGTGCAGTAGTAGGTGGTAGTGAGTCTGAGCGGTTGTAAACTTGAGTTAGTATTTTTTCGGTTGTTAACAGTGCATTTTACCATTTGTGATTATACCGAATTATTGTGTTTGTGCAGGTTGCACAAACTGGAGTCTGTCAGGACATCGAGTCCACCGTTTTCCGGACAGAAAAAGGAGTGGAGTTAGTTTTCGTGCCTGGGTGCGTTTTGTGCAGGTGAAGAGGAGCGATTTCACGGCTTCATCTGTGACCAAAAACACGGTCGTGTGTGTGCAGTGCTCATTTTGGACAGGAGGTTTATGTTCCTGGAGGAGCCCGCCTGCCCTCGCACATATGTGTGAGGTCAGGCGGGCTCCGCGGAGAGGGAGACCCCCATGTTTCAGATGGGAGCGGGCGGCGTGAGGGTTGATGGGCAGTGTGAGGCATGTTATGTCTGGTCTGGGGGTCAGATTCTCCACCAGAGCCCAGAAGGCATCCACCTCCCTGCAGCACATACTCTCCACAGCTGAAGACATGGGCTGGCAGTTCACACACAAGCACCCATCATACAAAAACTTATCAGGAAATCTTCGTACCTCTCTCTCTCTCTCTCTCTCTCCCCTGCAGACGTCAATACACCGTAATGCGGAGTTATAACACGCATAGCAAGATACGTCTGACACAAGCTGATATTTGCGCATTAGTTTGTGTTCTGGGTAAGTATCATTAGTTATCTAATAGTGGCAGAACTATTGGTAGCTTTGTTACAACCTAATACGTGATGGCAAACTTAATGTTGTGATGTGAACACAGCGTTAGACATCGTTAGCTGTCGTTAGCTAACGCTGGTCGCTCACCAAGACACCTGCCCAGTTCTCCACTGGTTCTCCTCACACCACAGCTCTATTTCTCTCCTGTGGCCGTTATTTCTCCTAACCCTGATCTGTTCCTGGTCTCTTGGTCGCCTAGCAGGCTCATAATTATAAGCCTGTGGGCCGTCATATGCATGTGAATGTACATTTTCAACCTCTTCAGTCTCAAAACTAGTACTGGGATCCATGTTTATTAATGTTACACTCAATCGAACTCGGCCGGACTCCCTTACGCTACGTCATTTCCGGTTAGTGGGTTTTTAGATGCGGAAGCAAAATTCTCTCACAAAAACGACCCCAAAAGTCATTTTCCTACACATTTATTCACCATGGTCTCCAACCTGCAAGTTGGCCTTTATTTCATACTTCCTGTTTGCTTCAGTCTCAGTGTGATGTCATCAACATCAAACAAACAGCTCACCTCTCTCCCTTCCTCCTCTTCCTCCTCCTCCTCCTCAGGTTGCTCCTGCTCTCGACACCTTCAGGGACCAGGAGGCTCGTATGCGGGCGTTCAGGGCTCATCAGTCGGACTCAGTGTCCAGGAGAGGAGTTCAGGGTCTGCGGACGTACAGTCTGGACTGAGCTGAGGAGGAAACACGTTCAGTGTTAACACAAATAAAAAAGAACACGCATTATAAATCAGTGTGACGTGTTTTTATCTAAAATACAACCTGTGGTCATCAGAAGAGGAGGAAGAGTCCCTCAGGGCTCTGTACCAGCTCCCTCACTTTTCTCTGTATAAATTAAAGCTGTTATTAGATCATCAAAAGCTTCTTTGTAAAGAAAAATAAATCACCAGAAACTTTTAAAGAAACCATGGTGGGTCTGAAAGGCACGTTTAAAAAAAAAAAAGCTTCTTCAACAACTGCATAAACATTTTTAAAGAAAAAATTGCCAAAATTTGAAAAAAGACAGTTATCAAAACTTTTTTAAAAAAACAACACACTGTTGGTTTGAAATGCATGTTTCATTAAAGGAAACAAAAAGAAATCCCCAAAATATTTTGAAACAACATGGCTTCCAAACCTTCTCGTGGGTTTAAAGAGAATATTTTCTTAAAAACATGTCAAAAGACAAACAAACAGAAAAAGCCAATATATTTAAAATAAATAAATAAGCCCCTCCCCTGAGCCAACATTATTTAAAGAGCCTCCCCCCTCTCTGCCCCGCCCCCTCCCCCTCATTAATAACGAACAGTCCCTAACATCTGTCTCCGTCACATCAGCACACAGCTGCTCTCAGTGTGTCAGTGCAGCTGATCATCAGCAGCTGATCACCTGATCAATAATCATCTCTCAGCGGATGGACATTTAATTTCTGAATCTTATTTTTTTACTTCACTGAATTTAAACTGGGAAAATGACGTCACAAACAAAGTAATATTTGGAGTTTCACGTCACATGTTGTGTTGTTGGACTCTCCTGTCTCCTCTGTGATGTTCCTGCTCAACACCTGAGCGCTCACTCTCACCTGAGTCCGGCCGGAGATGGAGGTGTCTGCCTCCAGGTTCCGCATCGACTCCCTGCTCTCCCTCAGGCCGCCCGGGGCGCTCCTGTCCCGGGCAGAGGTTCCGCAGCTCAGCCCTGGGGGCAGCAGCGGCTGCTCGGCGCCTCCTTCCCCGCGAAGAGAGCCCGTTCCTCGGCTGGACTCTCCGCCGCTGCCCGGTCACCTGCAGCAGCTCCAGCCCCGCACCGTCAGCTCCTCCTTCCTCATCCGGGACATCTTAGCGGACTGTCGGCCCTACTCTGACCCGGGACTGGTCTACCCTGACCCGGGACAGCCCGAGCTAGAAGCCGAGCCGTTCCAGTCCGGACCGGAAGAAGACTTTCAGGATAAAAGTCACAGCAGCTCGTCTTCAGACTCTGAGTCCAGAGGTATATTTACTGTAATTATAAACACTAAATAATATGAGTTTAACTGGGTGAGGACAAACTGACGGTGTCAAATATAATATAATAATACAGTTAAAAGTTATTTTATAATTTGTCAGAAAAAATCAATTTCTGAATAAAAAAAGACAAAAACCTAATTTAATGTTTTTATGTTTAATCTTAAATTCATGGATTAATCAGAATCTGAAATAAAATCAGTTTGTGGTCAGAACACATTTTAATTTAAAATAATACAGCACATAATCAATATAAGACTGTTAGAATTAATATTCATAAATCAGATCATTTAATATTTTAGTTTTATTTAAAACTCGTTTTTTTCACCTGATTAAAAATATTTATTTGTAGAGAACAGACTGAATAAAGACTGAGTGAAGTCACTCTGCTGAGAGATTTATTTATTCTCACTTCATTTCTCCTTCATGTCATAACAATAATAACAATAATAATAATAATAATAATAAGCTGTAATATTTTTAGTTTATTGCCAAATATATAATCAGATATAGTTATTAATCAGCATTCATGTGTTCATCAGCGCAGTAATAATAAAATCATCTGAAGATGAAAAATATGTTTATTTCTTTTTTAAATAGATTAAATAGAGTTTTTAACATTTGAACTAAACAGACATAAATACAGGACAGAAACAAATTGATAACAATAAATAAATAAATAATAACAATATATTATTAATGTCTGTAAAATGAACTTGTGTGTTTTATTTTGTGAAGCTGCTTCTGAAGGAAAAGATTTTTGTTATCATTAATTTGAATCAAATCTTTGTTTTTTAATTTTTCTGCTGAGATTTTAAAGTTTCAGTTACACATTATTGTTTTTATATAAAACACTGTCACATATAAGTAAAATTAATTCATATATATATATGTTTGGTGTTTCAGGTGTCGTCCACAAGAATGATCAAGGTGATCAAAGTTATTTCACCTGTCGGTGGTTTTAATGTTGTGGATGATCTGTGTGTGTGTGTGTGTGTGTGTGTGTGTGTGTGTGCGTGTGTGTGTGGGCAGTGACTGGTTGACTGATACAAAAATAAATGCATAAATCTTATATTTTAATTTATTCTGCTGCCATCATGTTTTATTCAAGAGGCAAATTAAAGACAAATGTTCATTAATTGATCAGAAAATCTCATGAAAGACTTTTTGATTTATTCACTTCTGTAGAATGAGTTTAATATAACTATTATTATTATTATTATAAACAACATGAGAGACGTCAGATGTTTCATCACAGCAGACTCAAATACGACCAGTTAACACAAACCAGTCCGACTCCTCTGAACCAGTTTAAGTTTGTTATAAATAATCTGGTTTATTTTTAATGAGGCTGAAACAGAAATAAAACGATGATTATTAATAATGAAAGTGTGAAGTGATGAAGTGATGAAACATGTAGACGAGTGTAAACGTGTCAGTGTGACCTCAGAGGGAAACATCATCACCTGACGTCAGACTGAAGACACGTCTTTGTCTTTCACGTCTTCAGACGTCAAATCTGTTCGACCCTAAACACAAACTGAAGCTGACAGCGTCCCGTCAGAGGTCCATGTTAAGCAGGACTCTGGGTGAAACACTGAGACAAACTCAGCCTGCTGTCACCTGGAGGACATCTGGAGGACAGAGGGACTGATGTCTCAGCAGGACCTGCTGTGTTTGTCTTCAGTCGACTCGACGACTGTCGCAGAGTCTTTATCATCATGGCTGCTGCTCCAGTCCTCACTGAGGCTGAGACGGTCCTGAACGGTTTCTGACCTTCAGTCTGAGGCGTCAGGGACACGTCTGCTCTGTGTCCACAGCGTCAGGACTCAACATGGAGGAGCAGAGTTTGGTCTTTATTCTCACAGATCAGAACAAACTCACTTCTTTTAAATCAAGACTGAAGACTTTTCTGTTTCCTGTCGTCTTTTATCAAATCAAATCTTTATTTCTTAACTGAGCTGAACTTTGAGTTTAGTCTTCATTTTATTTTTGATCCTTTCGGCTCTTTAACGACAGTTATTAAACTGTGTAATGTCCTTTTATAATGTGTTTCTTTTGCATCTTGGTGTTTTTTGTCAAACTCTTTGAGTCGCCATGTTGCTGAAATGTGCTGTAGAAAAAGATTTACCTCGACTCTGAGGATCTGAAACCAGGTCTGGATTAAACCCTCGGCCTCCCTCAGGCCGTCAGGTCGCAGCTCCTCAGAGTTTCACCTGGTAACAGATTCAGTCTCGTTCAGTCCAACGTGACGTCAAACCTCAACAGACAACAGAGTATTTACTGAGTGACTGCAGCTCACAGACCTTCTCAGAAACACATTTAAGGATTTGAAAAAGAAAGACTGCATGTAATGAGTAAAAACTTTACATTTCCTGTGAAAACAGAAGTTAATTTTGAAAAGAGACGATGCACGAATGAGCGTAGAAAACGTGGCGTCTCAGCGCAGCCAAACTGACACAGGACGTCAGGTAGAGCGTCAGATTTAGACGTGACGGGCGGCTGACAGAGAGTTGGTATTTTGCAGGTTGGGATGAGAACGTGTTATTTTCACTTAAAACACCTGCAGGTAGAAGACACACGGCCCAGCAGCGTGCACACTTTATCTTTACTGTGAATTAGAAAACGGTCAGTGGGCCCTTGGCCTCCCGTTATGGGCCACGTTTGGGCCGCGAGCTGTAAGTTGAGTCTCGCTGCAGTCACACCTGGTCATGAAGAATGGTGAGAGTTTGGATTCTGCGTCCGGCGGAGAAACGAGAGTGAAAAACAGTTTTCTTAATGAATTCAAAGGCTCATTTTGTGGTGAAATATCTTTTAAAAACTGACTGACCAATCACCTGACAGCTCTGACGTGATGTCATTTCTACCTGTGAACCCCTCAGGGCAGGGCGGGGCCTCAGACGCTGTGACGGAGCGTCTGAAGAAACCTCGTAAAGCTCGGACGGCGTTCAGCGACCAGCAGCTGTCGAGGCTGGAGAGAAGCTTCCAGAAACAGAAGTACCTGAGCGTTCAGGACCGCATGGAGCTGGCGGCGTCTCTGCAGCTCAGCGACACGCAGGTGAAGACCTGGTACCAGAACAGGAGGTAAAACACCTGACGGGTCGCCACACAAACACACTGAGGTCACTTTCAGTCTCTGTGGTCGTACAGGAAACTCAGGAACACGTCAGAGCAGCAGATTAAATATCACACAGACATATTTAATCTTTTATTTTAAACATTTATTCTGATTAAATACAATTAAAGGTCCAGAGTGAAGGATTCTGGGAGATATACTGACAGAAATAAGAGTCGTGTTTTCGTGACGTTTACATCCTGTCTGGATCCTGATCTTTGAATCCGTCGCTCCTCTGAGATCCAGCTGACTGATTCGTCTTGTGACATCAAACGGCAGTTTCTCCGTTCAAATCAAAAAAAGAACCAATCAGCACCAGGGGCGGGGCTAACACTGTTGAACCAATGAGGAGTTAAAAAAACAACAGCAAACGCTGCGATCGAGTCTGATCTAAATCAACATGTCTTCTCAACGTTGCCCGACATCATAGTTTGTTTTGACTTCGCACTGCTGCGCTCGTAAAGTCGGAGAAGAACAGGTGCGTAGTTATGACTCACAGACTGTGCGTCAAGATGGCCGCCACGTCTGCACTTCCTCCCACTGTTACAAAATGAAGCCAAAATATTGACTGCTGCCACGATGGGCTGGTGACGTCACCTGTAGCCAGAGCCTGCGCAGTAACCCTCTCCACCGGTGTCAAATTTCCACCCAAACGTCCAATCATAAGCAGCCCAATTGATCTCAAGCACACTGATTGGCCCACACAGCTGTCAATCATGACATCACACGTCACCCGCATCAAATACCTGATTCAAACCAAAATGATCAGACAAACAAACATCAGCGTGATGAGAGCGACCTGAAATGACAGAAAACCTTTGATGTTTGAGTTTTTAGTTTGGAGGGGGCGGGGCTTATGATCACCAGCCAGCAGGGGGCGGGGCTTATGATCACCAGCCAGATGATTTGGCTTCACTTTCTGGATGTCGTCCATCTTCATATACGTGGATCACAAATAACGTGTCAAGTCCCGTTTCCTGCTGTAGAGGAAGTGACCAACAGACAGACACTCGGCGACACGTCTAAACACACGTATGATGCTGAATATATTAAACTGTGTGGACCTGATGACTGAGGAGAAACCTGGACCACCTGGAGACCGCTGGGCTACGGTCTGACTAAAATGACTTTAGTTTGGCTTGAATCCATTTCAGTGCACCACTTAAGTTTAAGTTAAGTTTATTTCCTTTATTAATCCCCCTGAGGGGAAATTCAATGTTTTCACTCTGTTGTCAGTTACACACAGGTCTGAACACACACATGCACAAACTGGACCTATACATGCACCAAGTGGAGAGATGTCAGAGTGAGGGGGCTGCCCTTTGGTCAGGCGCCCCGAGCGGTTGGGGGGTTCGGTGCCTTGCTCAAGGGCACCTCGGCAGTGCCCAGGAGGTGAACTGGCACCTCTCCAGCTACCAGTCCACGCTCCATATTTGGGTCTGAACGGGGACTTGAACAGGCGACCCTCCGGTTCCCAACCCAAGTCCCTATGGACTGAGCTACTGCCGCCAGGAGGACGAGGGTCAGGAGAGCTGGTTACTGACTGTGATCTGTCAGCCAGCGGCAGCGACCACGTGACCGTCAGCTGACACAACAAACATCAGTGTCGACCCACAGGAGAAAAACCACAGCAGCTTTACTGCTGGACAGAGACGTTCAGGATTTTGTCTGAGTGACATCATCACTTCTCTGTCTGACTCGTTTGTGTCGCGTGGTTGTGATGACGTAAACAAACGGTGTGCAGACTCGGCTGCAGGCGTACACCGGCGTGCTGATGGTGCGGCATGTTGTTTCTACAGTAGCCCTGAATGGACAAACCATCGGCCACAGAGGTTCTCCTGCACGTTTGGTTCATGTGAGCAGTTTAAGTTCATCGCTTGATGTCACTGAATCCGTCAGACTGTGTGTGTGTGTGTGTGTGTGTGTGTGTGAGTATCAGTGTGTACGGACACATGTGAGACGTCTCTTGATGAATAATAAACGCTCTCTGATCAATAATTCATCACTGTGTTCTGTAATTAATGATCAATAATTCATGCAGAAACAAATCTGGAGCTTTTAGTGCAGAGTCTCAGAGAGCGCTGATTTTTTATTTATTGATTTATTTTTATTGTTCCATAAAAAACAATCTGCTCACAGACAATCCTGTGCTGTGATTGGCTGCAGGTCCAAACTCCTCCGTTTGTTCAGAGGAGGATTTTTGTTTTTCGTTTGTTTTTTTTGATGACAGGAAGTAGAATAAACTTTTTATAAACATTTTATAATTAATCCTATTTTTTAATTGTGTTTGGAGCTAATGTTCTCTTTTGTGCAAACAACAACATTTGTGCATAAATGTGCACAAAATATCAAAGAACGTAGTTTCTGCAGTTTGTTTAAATATATTTTCTTGTTATAAACACGTATAAATACAAACACGTCTGTGTTTCAGGACGAAGTGGAAGCGTCAGTCGGCCGTTGGTTTGGAGCTTCTGGCTGAAGCCGGCAGGATGTTCCTGCCCACACACTTCCTGTACCCTCCGGCCCCGCCCACACTGGACCTTTACTTGTACCGAGGCCACGCCCCCCAACACCACCACCATCACTCAGCCCCGCCCCTTCTGCCCCGCATACTGACCCACACTGAGCCACACCCTCGCTGACAGCAGGAGACTGGGAGGACTGGGAGGACTGGGAGGAACTCGTGGAAATCTTTTTGATTCAAGAGAACAAAGTCCTAAAGACATTTTTGATCCTTTTTTACTTCAGGAACTCGATGAAACATTTGTATTGTCGCTGGTTCTGGTTTTTACCGTCTTCAGGTCCTGAACCAAACCGGACTCTGATCAGAAGGTGACGATGACTGCACACCAACAGGTCAGAGGAAGAGATGATGATCACGACTGGTTCAAGGACGTAAACAAACAAAATAAACCTTGTTTCAGTGCTGCGTCTGTACGGGGCAGGACAGCAGGAGGACGACCTGTCCTTTGAAGAGGACGGAGACAAAGGGACACGTTGAGACTCCGGCAGTTTGTGGAGAAGAGACGACTCAGCCAAACGACACGGGACAGATTTCAGCCAGAAAAACACTGAACTCACTGCATTAAATCTGAGACAGAGACACGTGATGAGGGATTCTCTGTTTTCATGTCTGTTTTATTTTAGTTTTTTAAATTTTCAATAAATATATAAAATAATTCTTGATGTTTTTTCTCTGTTGTTTGTTTTGATGGTAAATGATCTCCAACAGAACGTTTATGATGCGACACAGCGAGGAAGAGCTGAAGAGGCTGATCAGGTTCAGGGCCAAAGACTTTTTTATGGACTCGTTTTTGGGGTTTGACTCGGACTTGTCTCAGACTTGTTAAAGTCCTCTGTTGTATTTGAGTCAGAGTTCAGGATGTTAATTAGTTATTAATTAATTAGTTAATTAGGACACATTTTGGGGGTTTGACTCAGACTAATCTACCTACAGAACTACCTAACTACCTAGCTAGACAGCTACTGAACCACTGGGCCACCTACCTACCTACTGAACTGTCTAGCTATTCACGTACCTTCCAAAAAAACCTAGCTACTGAACTACTGGGCTACCTAACTACCTACATAGCTACCTTCCTACTTACCTACCTACCAGTTGTAGTTACACAGTTTGGCCATTATGAATTCAGCCTATAAATCCTGGCAGACGTCCTGAGAGCCGGTTCCAAAGATCCAGTTTACACGTGGAAATCAAACGTTTCTGGCTTCATGTGTCACTGAGCGACTTCTATAGGAATAAATAGGCCCCGCCTCCAACGCTGCATCCAGGTCTCTTTATACGCCCGTGGTTCTGACGCCTCTGTTCTGTGTCAGTGTTGATGTGTGCAGGGACAACATCACAGTTTCTCAACAGGTTCACAGCAGCTCAGTTTTCAGTGATATGAAACAGTTCATGAGGACTAAATATAAAAACCTAAGAACATAAAGCGGGCTGCGTGTGAAGAACCTGTGAACAGGTGCAGGTGAGGATCACTGAGATATAAAACACATGGAGCAGAGAGCGACCTGAGGTTTACTGATTAATGATGAATGAGGTCTGATAAATAATTCCATCATCGGTGGTTAATTCTCTGTCCGTCGCCTCATTGTTTCTCTCCTCTCCTCTCGTCCAATCAGACGGCTCGACACTTAATTGAGACTCAGACGTTAGCGGGGCGATTAGCTGCTGAAATATTAAAAGCTGGCTGAAATATTGATGCTGTTAAAAGGCAGCGATTACACATCAGACTGACCACAGCAGCCTCTGAGTGCTGCAGCTGCTTTTATTCCTCACACTCACTTTATATCATCGTCATTTATTCATTTGTTTGTTTCCATGTTTTTGCTGCATCATCTTGTCGAACGCAGCTTTTCTTCTTCAGTGGAGTCAAACGTTAAAGTCGTGTCCATGTGTTTCTTCTCACACACACATGTACACCACAGATACCTGAGAGACGCTCAAACAAACAGTCTGAAGCAGTGACGCAGTGAGATCAGACACAGACACAACACTTGTGCAACTTTTAAAGAATTCAAAGTTTAAATCTGGACGCAATGACGTTTGTTATCTTTGTGTTGATGGTTGCATCACAGATTAACTTCAGTAGTTTCCCACCTGGACCCTGCTGTCACCTGTTCATGTGTTCATCTGTAGACAGAGGCTGCAGCAGTGAGACAGGCTGTGATGTTTCGTTCGCTGACCGAGTGTGTTTCTGTCTTTATTCTGAGTGTGTGACATCATGATGAAAGGATCCCTACAGAGACAGAGCTTGAGTTTAACCCAGCAGCGTACGGCTCAGGAGCCACATGCAGCTCTTTGTCCAGCGGCTCCCTGCGGCGAGGACCAAACATTATATGGAAATCACTGATTTATTTCAATTTTCATTTTTCATTGTTGTGGCCACAAAGTGATCCTGACATTGACTCAACTGGTCCAGTTGAATCAATGTGCAGCCAACACGCTGGATACAAAAATGTTTCAATATCTTGTCAACTATGTCGTCGTACGTCTACGGCCGAACACCTTTTCCTAAAACCTGCTGAATCTCAACAGCACTGGCTCGTCCTGAGTCTCCTGAGTGAGGCCAGCTGTGGAATCCAAATCCAAAAAATAAATCGTCTCAGTGGAAAATAGAGAAATGTGTTTGCTATCACCACTCAAATGATCATAAAGCTGCTGTGATGGAACACTTATTAATGAGCGCTCATTTAGGAATGTTTGTAGACTAATGAACATCAAACAGGCCGTGCTGCCGCCACTATAAGGCACAATATATACATAGATATAAAAACATCTCTTTTGATAACAAAGCTTGCCGACCGCTGGTTTAACCAGAAACAGCTCTGACGTCACCAAACCCACCAGACTCCATTTAAAGAATCAGTCATGTTAGTGTGTATAGATGCAGCGTGTTGTCACAGCTAACTGGTGAATTAAGGGTTAATCTGAACCAAACCAGAGCTGGTGACTGTTGAACAGTGAGAGGACAAACAGTGAGAGGATGAACAGTGGGAGGATGAACAGTGGGAGGATGAACAGTGAGAGGATGAACTGAGACAGTTTCTGTGAGTTTCATTTTGTTTCTGTCGACTGTGACTGAGGTGAGTTTGATGATGGTAAAATGACTGATTATTTAAATGGAGTCTGGTGAAGGTGGTGATTTCTGGTGAAACCAACAGATCTGGTCTCTGTAGGGATCCTTTCATTAATGATGTCACTCAGAGTCACAGTCTGATCCTGTCAGAGACAAACAAACACTGACGGAGCTCAGCTGAGATGAACCTGTCTACCTGCAGAGTGAGGTGAGACAGTCCTGATGAGGTCAGATAACATTTTATTTTTTTTTTTGAAAAAATCCTCCAACAGTAGAAACATATGTTATTTATATGAAACATCTCGATGACATCACTCTGAAGAACTCAGCAGTAAAAACACGTCTTCAGTTTGTCCTGTAAAGAGTCTGTCATGTCTCAGTCAGCTGTCTGCAGGTCGTCACCTCTGCTCATGGGAACTCCAGCTGCTGCACCTCCTCATCACTCCTCCTCATCACTCCTCCTCATCACTCCTCTTCTCCTGACTGACCAAACGTCTCCTTCTTCTTCTTCTTCTTCTTTTTGGCGTCTCGTCCGTCCAACCCGCTGGAGAACTCTGAGCGAACCAGGCTGAGCTCCCTCCGAGAGAACCTGAACACCAGGACACAGACCAGGAGGAAGAGGAGGAGTGAGGAGGAAGGAAGGAGACTACGACTCCCAGAATGCATCAGATATCTCAGTCAAAGTTTAATTTTTATACACGACTAGTTCAAATCAACAGTTTGAGTCTAAAGTCTCTAACACGGCTCCGGAGCTGCAGACAGTCAATCTGTGTTTGGATGTTGTGGAGCTCAAATGAACACGTCTGTTCACGTCACGCATGTTCGTTCTGACCTGTGACCAACACGTCCTGCAGCTCATTAATGACACGTGTTACACTAGTGAACGGCTCCATGACTCAACATCTACAAATATGAGATATGTAGAATCTGTGTGACTGCGTGTAGTCAGACATGAGGAGCACCTGAACGCACCACACACACACACACACACACACACACACACACCGGTAATTATGTCTCTGCTGACCACTAACAAGGGGGGTGTGTGTGTGTGTGTGTGTGTGGGGTCAGGCCATGTCCAGACAGGCCCGCCGTGAGGAGCAGCTGCTAATAACAACAACAACAAACACAACAACAACACACACACTATAGGGAGCAACAGCTTTAATTATGCACAGGAGTGTGTCTGTGTGTGTGTGTGTATTACTGTCCGTCAGTTCCGCAGGGTGTGTGTGTTAATGAACATTAACACACAGACGTGTCAGACACACACACACACACACACACACACACACACACACAGACACAGACACAGAGCAGACTCACCTCTTTCCTTTCCTGCTGCTGACCTCCTTGTCCTGGTTCTTGTCCTGGTTCTTGTCCTGTTTCTTGACCGGACTGCCGGCCTGGCTCTGGTTCTTGCTCTTGTGGTGGTTCTTGGCCCCGAGGCGTGACAGGCGTGAGGGGCCCCTGGTGGCGCTCAGGCCCTGCGGAGCGTCTCTGAGGCCGAAGCTCTTGGCGGTGTGTCCCAGGTGGAGGGAGCGGATGTGGAAGATGTGTTTGAGGTGGGCGGGGTAGGTGGTGTACGCCCGCAGGAAGGACTGCAGCGCTGATGACATCAGAGGGACACACAACAACAGAGGATGAGTATACAGATAAGTAAACAAACAAACAAACAAACAAACAAACAGCAAAGGTGACGCACCTTTCTTGGCGTTCTGCACTGACTGAGCGTCTGAGTGGACGAAGTTCTCAAACTCCGTCTGAAGGACCGTCGCACGCTCTCTGGTCTCCTGCTCCAAGGCTCTGCTGGAAGTCTGACAGACAGACAGACAGACTCAATTACATCATCCAGAGGTAACAGTGATTATGATAAAACCTTCAGTACAAGATGACGAGCAGAGTAAAGATGTTCTCTGTCAGACCCTGACTGAGGACAGACACTTATTTCTTCTTCTGCAGCTGTGAAACTGTGTTTAAATAAAGGTTGCTTTGAATGTCTGTAGCTGCTGCAGGACTCATCAGGTCTCTGTACTAACAGCTTCAGTCAGTCTGTCTGCACTGATCCTTCACACACACACACACACACACACACACACACACACACACCCCTGCTGATTGTACCGTCTTTATACTCGGAGCCTTTGTTGTGCTGCTCCTCAGTCTGACTCCGACACGTTCAGGTCTTCACACAGAAACAGATCAAGTGTTTAAAAGTGGTTGTGTTCAGCATCAGAGGAACAGCAGGTGGTTTCACTGTCTGACTCTCAGCTGCCTGTTGGTTCATGTTAGTGATGAATTCAGTCCTGTGAAGACACCAGAGCCACTCAGAGACAGAACGTCACTCCTGACCCAGCAGGAAGTCACTGACTGTTGTCGGTCCCTCACACTCACCTTCACGCCGTGGTGATCGAGCTTTTGTGGCCGTAGCCACGCTCTGATGGTCTGCTGACTCTGGTTTGTTTTTGGAGCAGCTAAAGATGCACCTGTTCAGACAGGTGTGTGCACCAC